CTAGCAATTAATTTTTGTTTAGCTTTTCCATAAATTGATTTTTAAAATTCACCTTGGTTTATAGTAATTTTTAAGATCAATAAAAAAAAAACTTTGATCCTTATCAATTGATATTTCTTTTCAAATTTTAGGGTACTTAACTATTATCATCCTCCTACAAAAGTCACAAGTGTCATTTTCTCCCTTGGTCCTATACTTATAGTCCTTCCTAGCATCTATAGCAATCGGGTGGATAGATCCCCAAAAACAGTTTAAAAAAATACATTCATAATACTCCTTTCACGTACTTATCTTGATCTTCGTAAAATCACTTTTAAAAAACTAATCCCGATACTCCCTGGATAAGCTTAAGATTACAAACAAAACTTATTTTTTGCCCTTGCCTTGTATTTAAAGAAAATAATAATAAAACTTGTTGTGTGTGATAAATATAATCTATGTGTATTGATGTAACCCACACAAAATATAAAGTTCAAAGTAAGATTGACATGTATTAAAATCTTATAAAGATCCTTTCCCACAAAGAGAGTGAATAGAGTCATCAAGGCTTAATAAACATGGAAGTTATTATATTTAGTGCAAATTGTGAACGTTCAACCTATTTATAACCTCTATAATTGATCATTAATCCCATTTTGAAGGGAGCAATTATATATATACTCCTAGACATTTTTGGGTGAGATAGATAATAATAGATTTTTTTTAGGGGTGTCAAAAGATAAAAACTTTAAAAGTGGTGAGGGTAGTTAAAGTGAAGAAGCAAAATCGACAGCTTGTTTTTGTTTGGTTCTGTTTTTGTTTGGTTCTGGTTCTGTGCTCCTAAGTGGTATTTTGGTTTTTCTGGTATCTCTCCACGGTTGAATTGCCTAATTGCATCATTAAGCAAAGCACTAAAAACACAGAACAAAAATAAACCAAAAAAAAAAGGGGCATCTGAAAATTCAGGACCGTAGAGTAAATAAGAGGCGGCTTGGAGTTCATAATATTACAAAGCAAAGTTAAAAAGTTGGTGAATTTGAATACAAAATATCCATATCAAATGCATATAATATTTCTGAAATTTTGTAATATACTATCTTTAGTCTTTAATATAAGAGCTAGTTGGATATTAGATTTAGTCATAAATATAAAACCTCAATCTATTTTATCTATCAAATTTATGATGTTTTTTCTAAAATATTACTATCATTGTAAGGTCCCACTAAGAAATAATTTTAAAAATATACGTGATTAAAAAGAGTAGCTTAAGGATGTATGCCAATCCAAATTTATTATAATTAACCAATTTAATTAATTAGTTTTCTTGATTTCTCTAAATTAGTTATGTAACCCTTTTATATTAAGGATACAAAGTAATAATATTCAACTAAAAATCCATCTTCACACAGTTGGTCAACTTAACGGCATATCCCTAAAGATTTGTTGGGGATTCAAACTTGGCAGGTAAATGATCACATACACATGTAATTGCTTAGTCTTGCAAGTAAGCTGCACAAAGCATTAATTTGCAAGTGGTGATAATAGCATCAAATTAATAAACATAGCGGCTTTCTTTCTTTCTTTCTTTCTTGCTTGCTTGTGGGGACCATTTTGAAATATTAATTCCTCCAGACTATTAATAGTGTTTTAGATCTTCTCACGCATGAAAATCTTGTTTTTTGTCCTCATCACATAGCATTGTGCAATTTCTTGTATTTTTCTTAGTATAGTTACTCTTCTCTTGTTCCTATCATAGAAGTTAGTTAGGGGATTAGATTTGTATCTAAATATAAAATCTCATTTTATTTTGTCTATTGTGTGTATGTCATTTTTTTCTCAAGCTTACATAATAATTTATAAACTGATACATAATCTAATGTTATATAAGAATATTTTGTTATAATTTATTTATTTATTTGACTTTTGTAATCTATTAAAATTAATTAAATAACTCTTATGTTAAGGATTTGAGAGTTGATACGTGGTATTATTGGGTTAGTTAAATTTGGGTATTAGTAAGCATGGTTGAAATAACTTTCTTAAAATGATTTTCGTTTTTTCATTTACAAGGTTTGAAATATCAACATTATTTAGTGAGAATTGAATCCGTTCTAAGTTCTAACTAAACCAATTATTAATAATAACATCCTACAAATTTTATAGTATATATAGACAAACATAGATCAATTTATTCTTTTATTCAGAAAGTGTGATACATTAATACTAATTAAAATAAGGAAAATACATAGATGGATCAAGTTTCAGGTATTAGTTATGTCAAATTCTTCAATTGTATATGACCATGTGTCCTATTTTTGAAAAAAAAAAATCATCATTTAATTATAAACTTACATTAAAAAAAAAAGATACATGATCATGTGTGATTAGAAAACTTGATATGATGAATATAAAAAACTTGACCTAAATATTCTCCTTAAATAAAGTCTCTTTAAAAATTATTTTTATATGAATAATCCATTTAAAATTCTACGTATAAATAACATTTTTCAACTTGAAGTCATATGTAGATATTTTGTCTAATTGCTTGTTACATGCTATCATTAAAATTATAATTTAATTAGTAATAAATGATTATTTGTATAAATGTAAAAGTGTTAAAAGTTCATTGTTAAAATTTGGAGGTAAAAATTATATTTTTCATATAATTCAAAATTAGGAAAATCATTTACAAGTTTAAATGTTTTCAAAATTTACCAATAACCTATTGAATATGAATTGATTGAAAAATTCTTGGAACCGAAACAATGGTGATTTCCTAATAATGGGACCTGCATATTTTGGTTTATTTCCCAAATATCTAATGAAACAATTATTATACAACTTTTATAACATAAATACATGCATGTTTATATATAAATATATATATATATGTCCAAAAATAGAATACTTAAAGCCATCTAAGACTTATTCAGATAATAAGAGTGAAATAATATATAATTAACTAGAGATCAAGAGTTTAAACATTTCTAATGTGACTAGAAAGAAAATTAATTAACTATATTATCTCTTGGATAATAGTTCCTAAAAAGGCTCAAAATTTGAGCACTCTGTTGGGGTTGGAAAAAACTTTGGACCATATTTTTCTAGTTATTATAAAATATTTTTTAATGTTGGAAAACATGCATTTAGTTTTGTTAAATAAATGAAGCTAACGTTGAAGTGATGGAAAGCTAAATTATATCCGAGATCTAAAGCCAATCTAACCTAATCTGATAATATTCTCCATAAAAAAAAAAATGGATGACAATCTTTTGAGGTGTATTGCGAAAGATTGTAATATGGAATATTAGTGTTGGTTGGGGGGGGGGGGAGAAGAGGATATTAGGGTATGTACGTTGTATCTCATGAAATGAAGTCACTGTGTCCGGACTATCCATTTCCCATTTTCCCCAATGTCTCAGATTCTCTGATAGTGATGGAGATATGGTGACGTGACATGAGGGTTAGATGATATCATGGTTACGTTTATTTAATACTCCTGACTATAATATAAAAATTAGATAATTAATTTATAAAAATTAAAAAAAATTTAATTAAATATTTATAAAAAATATAATTTTTTTAAATTATTGACTAACGGTTGCAATTAGAATAGTAGAGAACAGAATTGTTTATTATATGATATTTTTATTATTTTTTATTATCTATATCAAACTATTCATGAGTATGATTCTATTATGGAAAAAAATTTAGGTTTTGAAATAAATCATACTCTCACTGATAGATTTTAAATGAAGAAATTAGTTAGGGATTTGCTTTAATTCTAAATATAAGATTTTTATTTTTTTTTCAAATTATGTATACTGATGCCATATATTAAATAGTGTTTCCATTAATTAGGGTAATTAGTAAAGGAAATATTCTAGACAAATTAAACCAATACATACTCTTTTCATTCTATTTATAGGGTAATAGAGTTTTTTTTTGTCCATAATATATTAGTCATCTCGATAAATTTATAATATGAATATATAATTTTACTCCTAATTTATTGTTCTATATGCTACTATTTTCTTGCAAAGTATATATATAAAATATGAGTAAAGTTGAAAAATTATTAAATTCTAAAACATACTTAATGTGGTTTAAGGGTTTTTTTTAATTAAACATGTTGGATATAAATAGGACCAAAAGAGTATTTGTTATAAATAATTAATTTAATTATTTTTTAAGATATGTAAATTAGGTATCTAGCTAGAAAAAGTATTTAATTAGAGTTACTTTTTAATCAAATCAAATGACTAGATTTTATGTTTGACAATAAGTTAAAAGTAGCAATAAGAATAATTAATTAGTGACAAATTCCCTGCTCCATTATTTTTCTATTCTCTCCCCCAATTCCAAATAAACCTTATGATTTCTTAGCTAATTAAAAATATCTACAAGTTTTCATCTTTCAACCCCCAAGAAAGGGAAAAAAAAAATAGTAGGATAATAATGCCATGTAACCTTTTCACTTGCGTCTCCTATCTCAGAAGAATCATTTGACTCTTCTAGTTACCAAAATATTAATTATTTATCTTATTTTTTCCCTTTTAAATTTTAGCATAATGTACGTTAAATGGATGCAACAAAAACAGCGGAATTATACGGACAATTTGACACACAAGCATATAAAGACAGATTAGGTGCCCACAAATAATTTCCATTATTCATAAAACACCATGTGCATAATGGAAACATCACACAACAAACTTTTCCTTTAAAAAAAAAAAAATTCTATATCTGACAAGAACGTCCAAGAAACTTAACTTTATATGGACTTATTACTAGTTTGAGTTTTCATCACTTTGGATTTTGGCAAAGTCCAAATTCTTTTTGCCTCGCAGCTTGTTTGTAACGTAGTGCTTAGGATACTCTCCATGATTCTATCTTCTAAACCTAACTGGGTTGCTCTCCATGATTGTTTATATGGAAACGTTACTATTTAAGTATATATGTTGAAGTTAGTTACCTGAACTTTTCTCGCCGCAGATTTGGGTTCCTCATACAGTGAGCAATCATCTTGCAAGAGCAAACATGTTGCACCAATCTAGCTTCTGATTCTCTGAGAAAACAAAAGCTTGCCCGTATCCTTGTACTGTGCCTGGAATCATTGGATATTCCTGCTTCTCTCCTACAGGCAGCATGAAAAATTCCTTGCTCATCTCTACCATCCTCTCCACAAGTTCCCGACCAACCCCGTAATTTTTCACCTAACAATACCATCAAAGTTTCAATCGTCCAGATTCAAAAATAAAAACAAGAACCCATTGCTTTAAACTTTAAGTCCGTGCGAATTAGCATCTATAAATTTTTATTAGTTGAGACTTCTTGAAATATACTCCTCCGGTTCTAAATGTGAGGCTCATTTTATACATTTAAGATCGTAAGAGTATAATTTTAGATATTAAAATTTTAAATAGTCAAATATAAAGACCAAGTTCCATTAAGTTTAGGAACTAACTCACACCCGAGTCAAAATTATAAGAATTGATAAGTTACACCAAATTAAAGTTTAGAAATTAAGTTACAAATATTTACGATTGTATCTATCCAGCTCAACTTAGATTAGAAATAATACATGTGACTTCCCCACACACACATACCAAGTGATTATATACTCATAAGAAAATAAAAAGAAAAAAGCAGATTTATTATGCACCTGAAAAAATCCCCATTCTTCACAAGCTGCAGAAAGCTTCAGAACTTCCTGGCGGCATTCCCCTCTGGTTCCTTTGAGAAACTCTGAGAAATCAATGATGGGCATATCACAAGATGTATCAGAAACAAGTTGTGTTCCTTCATTGACATCTCTTACAAATCTTTCAGGAATATCTCTGGGTTTAGTTCTTCTGAGTTCTTGGACATCATCAATGTGTCCAACATTGATAGGAGAAACAAGCACAGGAGCCATGGACAATATCTGAAACTAAAGAACTTTAAATATATGAAGTGATTTATATATTGTTCTATATATATATATATCTGAGACTTTGATACCAAGTTTGTATTTATAATGGAAATCAGTCCCATAATTCTAACTCACACCCAATACTTTAAAAGCCAAATCGGATGTTAAATCGAAAATACTAGGACTGACAGTTCATATTAATTAAATAAAAATTCCATAATAAATCTAGTTGTTAATATAATAAAAACCCAACATATGATAACCATATCACTAGTCTTAAAATATACTAGTTTTTTTTTTTTAGATGGTGAATTTTTCTTTTAAATTTTTTATAGGTTTTCAAATTTTCTTTTTTGGGCATTTATTTGTTCCCTCAAAACTCATCCGATTTTCTGAAAATCATTCCCGTGTTTTTGTCTAATTCCGACTAAATGGGTAATTCTCTAATCATTAGTTTTTTTTTTCTTTTTATAACAGGGAAAGCTCTCTAATCATTGCTTATGACATTAGGTGCTTTTGAAACCCCATGAATTATAGTATAAATTGGAATGGGCTTCAATCTCCAATGAGTTTATTTATTTATTTTCTTTTGTGAGACGAGATGTACGTAGAAAAATGTTCCCATGTTGGCAAAATAAAATAAGAAAGGTCACTGGGACCACAAACAACAGACTTATATCTCAAATTTTATTTACGAATCAATGGGAATCAATTAATATAAAAATTGAATCCAAATCATTGTGTCTTACAATGGCTTCTAACATTCCACACACTAGCCAATAAAAATTAATCTAATTAGTAAGGAGTTGATTTATAATTTATGGGTTGATAAAAAAATATTTATAATCTATAAAATCGTGAATTCAAATTCTGTTGTTGATAAAAATGTTTAATTAAAACAAAAATACCCTTTAACGCTAATTAATTTTTTTATGTGAAATTTCTTTGTAATCCCCCATACACACAAATTTAAAAAATAAATACTTTAAGAAAAATATTTATATCACAGAATTACATACTTTCTATGTAAAGTTAAAATATCATACATCATAATGATGAAACGTAATGCATGTATAATCCATATAATAATCATCCATCATGGATCATCTTCCCCCAAAACTATAGATTATTTATGGACATATAATTACAAATTAAACCTAAACAAAAAAATACCTCACTTAGGCTTATTTAACCAACTAAAATGTTATTATAGAATTGTGGAGCTCTGCCAGTGAAAAGCATCATCCACGGCATATGCTTCTGCGTTCTGCCATCGGGGGTTGAAGAAAGACCCAACAACAAAAAAGTATATTACTTTTGTTGTTAATATAAAAATTAGTTTGATTTTTAATTTTGATTCTAAATATAAGATCCTAATTCACTTTGTCTCTCATATTTATCTATTTTTTTAATGTAGTCTTTATAGTAAATGCACGTGTTAAAAGTGTTTAACTAACGTACATAATTAGCAATGGTATTTTAGAAAAGGCAACACATATTTATTATAAATAACCAACTTAATTTTTTTAATCTAGTTAAATTATTCAATTAACTTTTATATTAAGTATTGGAGCTTGTAATGATTTAATGAGAATATTATAATAAATAAGATTCCTCATGAGATATTAATTGTTTTTTTTTGGGAAAATATTAGTTAATTATCGTTATGCGGTATCATTTTTGTTGTCAATGGCATGGTTTCAATTAGGCATTTTGAGCGTCGCATCTACCTTGTTTTTTTCTCCCCAAAAAAAAAAATTATTTTAATGTCTGGGGCCCTGAATTTTCTTTTCATTTAAGGAGACATATGTTTTTATATATTTGTATGTGTTGTAAAACTACAAGAAATAAGGAGAATGAAGAGTAGAAAAGAAAGCAAGAGGTAGAGAAGACAATGGCCTTTTCTCATTCACTTTGGTTCAAATCAATGTTACCGGTGTGGCATGAAAGGACATTGGTCACGTACCTGTCGTACGCCTGAGCATCTAGCAAAACTTTATCAGGCTTCTATAAAAAGAAGTTCAAATAATGTGGAAGCAAATTTGACTTTTCAAAGTGATGATGTGGAGGCAAATTTTGCATACAAAAATGATAATATCAATGAGCTAGATGATGTTAATGGCCTTGATGCTATGGCACATTTGGATGTGGCTGATTTCTTTGAGAATCATGATTAGAAGAATTTGGATAATTTTAGTTTGCTTTATCTATGCTTTTTAATTTAGTTTATGTTTATTTATTTCTCTTTTTTTTTAAGAGTATTATTAATCATGATGTACTTCGAATTTATATTAATGAATGTTTTTTTTTCGGTGAAGAATATGGATGTTTCTCTTCCTTTTGTTGGGCACAAGAATGAAGATATATGCCTGATAGATAGTGCTACAACACACACCATACTCAAAGATAGAAAATATTTTTCTCATCTTACGATAAATAGTGCAAGCGTCAATACTATAGCGGGTAATACAAAACTAATTGAAGGCTCCGGAAGAGCAATTATAATATTACCCAGAGGAACAAAATTTGTTATTAATGATGCTTTATATTCCTCGAAGTCTCAAAGAAATTTATTAAGTTTTAAAGATATTCGTCAAAATGGATATCATATTGAGACTATAAATGAGAAGAACATTGAATATTTGCATGTTACAATGGTAAGAAATGGAGAAAAATATGTCATGGAAGAATTACCGACATTATCTTCTGGTTTGTACTATACAAATATTAGTACAATTGAAACAAATGCTACGGTAAACCAGAAGTTTACTGATAAAGATACGTTTATTGTTTGGCATGATCGGTTAGGCCATCCCGGATCAACTATGATGCGAAGAATTATTGAAAATTCACATGGACACCCATTGAAGAGCCAGAAGATTCTTCAATTTAGAGAATTTTCATGTGCTGCTTGTTCTCAAGGCAAATTAATTGTAAGGCCTTCATTGACAAAAATAGGAGTTGAATCTCCTGCATTTCTAGAGCGTATCCAAGGAGATATATGTGGACCTATCCATCCACCATGTGGACCATTCAAATATTTTATGGTTTTAATAGATGCATCTACAAGATGGTCCCATGTGTGTTTGTTATCAACACGTAATTTAGCATTTGCTAGATTACTTGCTCAAATAATTCGATTAAGAGCACAATTTCCAGACCATGCAATTAAGACAATTCGTCTTGATAACGCTAGTGAGTTTTCATCTCAAGTTTTTAATGATTATTGCATGGCAACTGGAATAACAGTAGAAAAATCTGTTGCTTATGTCCACACTCAAAATGGCCTAGCAGAGTCATTTATTAAACGCCTCCAATTGATTGCTAGACCAATGCTTTTGAGAACAAAACTTCCTATTTCAGCTTGGGGACATGCAATTCTGCATGCAGCAGCAATTATACGCATCAGGCCAACAAGTTATCATGAATTCTCCCCGTTACAATTGACTTTTGGTCGAGAGCCAAATATTTCCCATCTTAGAATTTTTGGATGTGCGGTATTTGTCCCTATTGCTCCACCACAACGCACAAAGATGGGACCTCAAAGAAGGTTAGGGATATATGTTGGCTATGAATCTCCTTCTATAATTAAGTATTTAGAACCATTAACAGGAGATTTGTTTACAGCACGTTTTGACGATTGTCATTTTGATGAGACAATTTTTCCAATATTAGGGGGAGATAATAAGCAGCTGGATAAAGAAATCATATGGAAAGCATTATCATTATCTCATCTAGATCCTCGTACACAACAATGTGAACTTGAAGTTCAAAGAATAATTCATTTGCAAAATATTGCAAATCAACTGCCAAATGCATTCACTGATCCTAAGAGAATTACTAAATCTCACATTCCAGCTGAAAATGCTCCAATTAGAATTGATGTCCCAGCAGGACAACTAGAAAGCGCAAGTGAAACCAAACCACGCCTGAAGCGGGGTAGACCAATCGGTTCCAAAGATAAAACTCCTAGAAAGAAAAAAGGAGCAAATAATCATGATGGTCATGATAGTCAAATTAAGGAGGCAAGTCCTATAGGAGAGGACCAAAACATAACTAATCAAAAGACCTCAGAGGAGGCTCAGGTACCTGAAAATAATGAAGAGATCTCAATAAGTTATGTTACTACAGGAAAAAGATGGAACCGAGAGAACACAGTTGTTGACAATATTTTTTCATATAATGTTGCTGTTGAAATAATTAATCAACATGAGGATCTTGAACCTACATCAGTTGAAGAATGTAGACATAGAGATGATTGGCCAAAATGGAAAGATGCAATTCAAGCAGAGTTAAATTCACTTTCAAAGCGTGAAGTTTTTGGACCTGTAGTCCATATACCAAATGGTGTGAAACCAGTTGGATACAGATGGGTCTTCGTGCGCAAACGAAATGAGAAAAATGAGATTGTTAGATATAAAGCACGGCTTGTAGCACAAGGATTTTCACAAAGACCTGGTATTGATTATGAAGAGACATATTCTCCTGTGGTGGATGCAATCACTTTAAGATATATAATTAGTTTGGCAGTCCATAGAAAACTTGAAATGCGTTTAATGGATGTTGTTACGGCATATTTATATGGTTCTTTAGATACTGAGATTTATATGAAAATCCCTGAAGGATTTAAATTGCCAGAGGCATGTAAGAATTCTCGAGAAAATTATGCAATTCGTTTGCATAAATCCTTATATGGATTAAAACAATCTGGAAGAATGTGGTATAACCGACTTAGTGAATATTTGTTGAGAGAAGGTTATAAAAATGATCCAATTTGCCCATGTGTTTTTATAAAAAGAAATGGATCAGAGTTTGTTATAATTGCTGTCTATGTGGATGATTTAAATATAATTGGAACTCCTGAAGAGCTTCAAAAAGCAGTTGATTGTTTAAAGAAAGAATTTGAAATGAAAGATCTTGGAAGAACAAAGTTTTGCCTTGGCTTGCAAATTGAGCACTTGGAAAATGGAATTTTCCTCCATCAATCAACTTATATTGAAAAAGTATTAAAGCGATTTTACATGGATAAGGCACATCCGTTATCTACTCCTATGGTTGTAAGATCACTGGATAAGGATAAAGATCCTTTTCGTCCTCAAGAAGATGAGGAAGAACTTCTTGGTCCTGAAGTACCATATCTCAGTGCCATAGGTGCATTAATGTATCTTGCTAATTCAACACGACCTGATATTGTATTTGCTGTTAGTTTATTGGCAAGATTTAGTTCTTTCCCAACAAGAAGGCATTGGAATGGAATTAAGCATATATTTCGATATCTTCGAGGGACAATTGATATGGGATTATTTTACTCTAATGAATCAGAATCACAATTAATTGGCTATGCAGATGCAGGATTTCTATCAGATCCACATAAAGGCAAGTCTCAAACAGGATATTTATTTATTTGTGGAGGTACAGCGATCTCATGGCGTTCAACAAAACAAACTTTATCAGCTACCTCATCAAATCATGCGGAAATAATTGCAATTCATGAGGCAAGTCGAGAATGCGTTTGGCTGAGGTCAGTGACTCAACATATTCAAAAAATGTGTGGTTTTTCCCTTGAACAGAAGATTCCAACAGTATTATATGAAGACAATACAGCATGCATAGCTCAATTAAATGGAGGATATATCAAAGGAGACAGAACAAAACATATTTCTCCAAAGTTCTTTTTCACTCATGATCTTTTGAAAAGTGGTGATATAGATGTTCAACAAATTCGCTCATGTGACAACCTTGCTGATTTGTTTACCAAGACACTGCCGACTAGAACATTAGAGAAGTTAGTGTATGGTATTGGAATGCGCAGGCTTAAAGACTTAAAATGATGTTATCATTAGGGGGAGTAAATATTGTGTACTCTTTTTCCTTCACTGGGTTTTTGTCCCAATGGGTTTTTCCTAGTAAGGTTTTAATGAGGCACAATACTCATTATGGACATCCAAGGGGGAGTGTTATGAATATTGCATGAGTGGATGTCCATAACCCCTAACCCTTAGAATTCTCATAGGATTCCTCACCTTCAAGTGTCATAAACTACATAACCTCCCTAATGAATGTTTTTGGGAGGAGTTTCTTATTGTTAATGCTATTATGATGTTCTTTATTCCTTTGTAACCTTAGTATAGGACTTCAATGCTTGGAGGCCTATAAATAGAGGGCATACATGAGGCATTTGTACCTTGAACCAAAGTGAATGAGAAAAGGCCATTGTCTTCTCTACCTCTTGCTTTCTTTTCTACTCTTCATTCTCCTTATTTCTTGTAGTTTTACAACAGTATGAAATTTAAAGGAAGATATTGTTCTTAATTTATAAAAAAATTTTATTTATAATTCACTTGTTATTATTTTTTCCTCAGTTCCTCACACCCCCTTCCCTTTCTTTTAGTTTTACTTGGATTTTATTTTTTTTATTTTTAAAAAATTTAACATTCCTTTTATTCAATTGAAGATGAAACAAGGTAATTTCCATTTGTATTCTATTTTAAATTGCCTCATATATTCTTTTGTGTTTCTGGACTTTTGTCTCTTTCTAATTATACAATAGAAACATACAAAATCAATATATATAATAATAAATGTGGTTGAATTGAGGGTTATAAAATTAAAGATATTTAGTTGTTTTGAAACCAAAGTATCCAGTTGTGGAAGTAAAAACATATTGAGATGAATGTCCAGTTATTCCAATATTTATAATAAATGGATAAATAAATTGATTAGAAAGATATTTATTTAGAAGTTAAAAACATGAAGTAAGGAGATGATAACAGTGAGATGAGATATAGATAGTAGTTAAAAATTCAAACCCTCTTTTATGAACACATTAAACTTTAAGAAAATTGTGAATTGGTATTTAATCAGTCTTAAAGCTTAATAAAATTGATAATGTAGACAATTGGTTAAAATAATTTACTACAAAACTAGTTCTAATAGTTCAATTTTTTTTAATTCTCTAGGCATTGATATATAAAATATCATAATATTAGGGCTTAATTTTTTAATCCTTACATTCCAAATGTTATATAGCATTGTTTTGTATGTAACTATCAATAATTATGGACTTATTTAACTTACATTTTCTACAATTGATTACCAATATAAACAATAATAAACTTTTATAAAATTGTGAAAAATATATATATTCTTATGTAATAAAGTTTTCACCTGCAAGGCTGTAATTATATTTTTAGCCCAAACGTTTAAGATTTCCTTTGATGATTCCTGAGGAGTGTTTTGAAGAAAAGATAAGATGCTATTAGTGTTAGGTCATGGCTTAAGTAATCTCAAGCTGCGAAAACTTAATAATATTATTTTTCTTGCCATCAAAAAATTATTTATTTTAGTAAGATTTGATACACTGATTTACATAATAAATCATATGACACGTATTGTGCTTCAATAATTTATTTTATTTTTTTAAGGGGAAAAATACTTTCAGGTATATTATTGAAGGTCAGTATCTTTTGAAAATGGCAGTACTCTACCAGTGATATATAAAAAATGCATTCACAAGGCCAGGGGGGTTGTATAATATTTTTTTTCAGTATAATATTTTTTTTCCATATACAATTAAATCTGCACCTGTATAAACATGTTAACATCATGTTCAAACTCGAAATCTCATCTAAATGTTGTGGATGGCATTACTACTGGGACAAGTAGCCGTTGACAATGGGTTTGTATAACAAGGAGTGAATTTTTTTAAAACTATTTTTATATATTTATAGTTAATTATAAAATGGATTCTGTGGGCATGCTTTACATGACATTATATGAGATTAGCATCACAATATTTATGATTTATGACTAATGTGATTTTAGGGAAAATGATTCATAGATTTCAAGTAAAACTATTAACTGCAGATAGGTTCAAAAATTTCATATTTATAAGTCAGATTATGTCATTGACAAATCAAATTTAACAATTTATATTTATAGTCGAAATTTCATATTTACTATAGGATCGAGTTGCATCTTTTACAAGCTAAATTTGTAGAAAAAAATTGCATTTCTTAAAACCTGTTCTTTTTTAATTTTTGTACCTGGGGTTATGAATAATTTTCCCTAGATTTTATATTACAAATAAATATGTAAATGGTTCTTGTATATTTATAGAAATTATGGCAAAGATCGAAGTTGATATCATAACTTCTGCTTAATTACTTGTTCTTTATAATTATTCCAATCAAGAAGCTAGGGAAACAGCGAAGTCATTGTTCATGTTTCTCGTACAGGGAAAAGTGAAAGGAAGGTTGAAATACCTCTAATTTCTAATATAAAAATTAAATAACTAATTTATAAATATTATAAAAATAATTAAATTAGTTATTTAGAACAAATATGTTTTGATTTTTTTAAAATATCTTCTTTAATCTCGTGCAGTAGAATTACTTCTTCATTGGGAGTTCTCCTTACATGTACAATCAATAAAGATATTTTGAAAAAAATTATAGATTTAGAAAGCAAAGTGAATTAAGATATTATGTTTATGATAAAAATGAACTTTTTACCTAAGTCTTATATTTATGACCGGAGATGGTATATTCTAATTTGTAAGCATGCGTTTGTCCTTTAATCTTCTTGAATGAACCAATCTTTATGCACGGTCTTTTAAAATTCTCTTACAATTGTGGATATGTAGCATTTAAAATATATATATATCATTTTGAAAAATAATAATTAATAAAGTAATAATTCTTGATTATACGAATCAATATAATGAGTATTTAATATAAATATAAAATCTAATCTGAGCAATACTACTGATGAATTTACAACTAACTAACTCATTATTTCTAAACTTGATGCGATATACAGGAAAATATACTGTTTTAATATTATCAACTAATTAAGTTGCACTTGTCCTGTGCATGAATCAGTTCCTGTTTTGATCGGCAACTACTGACCTCTTGGATCACCCTAGGACTGTGTGAAAGAGCAACAGAATTCTCTTGGGCTGTAACTTTAACATCACGGTTATACATACATACGTACGTACATACATGTATATAAAACTAATCAACTAGGATTGAGTCTGGTAATAGTCATTTACTACATGACAAATTAAGGTTCAAATCTTTGATGAAAGAGATACCTGATAGTGCCTCGAACATAATTGCATTTAATATGATGATTTATTGCTTGTTTTGAGTAATTATGTAGGCTTGTAGGAGTGGCATACTTATGATTTTGGTTATTCTTCGTAATTGACAATAAGTGGTATTTAAGTTGAGCATGCATGAAATTATATTAGACTTGTATATATGAGACTTAGGAAGTGTTTGGATAGAAACAAAACTATGATTTTAAAAATGCTTTTACTGTATATGAAGTAAATATATAGAGAAGTTTGTCCCGAATTATAAAAAAGTACTTCTCAGAAGTGTTTTTGGGATTACCCAGACACCCCCTTATATGAACAAATATTATTGAACATATTTGGGCATGTATGATAATTTATGGATAAATATCGTTTAAATTATTTTTCATATGTATTATGTAAAATTTATTATTTTAAGAACGATCTTAAAACTATAGAGATTTGATTAAAAATTAGATGAAAAAATAAAAACTTGATAAAAAGGAGGACAAAAGTACTATATGAACCTAAAAAATATGTAAAACCACAAGGATCTAATTAAAAAGAGGGGGGATAAAAGATCTCGATTTAAAAACAGGTAAAATTATAGGAACATACAGATTAATTTTCCATGAATCTTTTATTAGAAATGAATTAAATACCTGACCTTTAACACGTCAAATTCAATCAGCGAAATGAAATCCTTCTAGTCCAACAAGCAAATGAGACACTGAGCTGAACTTCATCTCATTATTAATGTATAAAATTACATCACCACCATTCACCAGGGGACCATTTCAACAAGTAGTTACAATTCAAACCTGCGGTCTGCAGACACAATCCCACTACAGTTGCTGAAAATTCCAATTGTCTGCTGCTTTAACACCTACAACAGCACTGTACAATTCAACCAACAATGCAAGAATGGTCCCCTTCTACAATTAAACGAGTCAATTGGCATTCCAATCCACAAATAACACAACCCAAAACAATGATTCCCATCAACATTGTTAGTGCAGCCATTGCCAATCTCTTGCCCCTTTTGTACAAAGCCAATTCCATCTTTAGTCATCTAATATTAAGGGCTAGAGAAAGTCAACCGAAATCAGAGGGCACCTTAACTTGCTGACAGTTCTTCCTTACCACAAACAATTAATCAGACTCCAATTATCACCGTTATATCCTACACGGGTATAAGAACTTGCATCATACATAAAAATCAAAGGACAAGAAACAGAAGGTTAGTGAAGCTCACATAACAGGTAAAGAGACGCACGTACCTACATATCCAAGCACCTTCTTTTCATCCCAAGAACCGGCATGACCCATATGACCAATAACCACACACACACAGACAGAGAGAGACAGAACTAAGATTTCAATGAAAAGCACAGAAATGCCCAGAAGCTCAGCATCCTAATTTCAGTAGTAAGTCAGTAGAATTAAATTCTATTATATACAAGAGTTGGTGGTACAGAGAAATCATAAACAGAAATGTGTCCCTTCTGGTCAGTATAATGTGGCGGGTCTGTAACAGAAAAGAAGGATACTCTAGTTCTGATCTATATGGAACGTTATTCTATACGCCAACAAATACAACACATGCTAAAATGCGATAAATAGCACAACTACTATTGTCTAACACACGCTCAAAAGAGAGAAAGAAAACTTTCTGCAAGATCTTGTCTTAGTTGAAAAGTACAATGTGATGCCGGAAAAAGAAAAGAGTTTCGTAAACAATGGATCAGTTAAGACAATATCAGTATTCTCAAAAATGTTTGCTCATTTCATGATTCTGTATTTGTTTTGTTGGGGCTCCAAATCCATGGAGCAAAAAATATAGCACTAGACTACTACAAAAATTTGCATCCCGTATCAATCAACAAAAACGAATCCCATCCCTCTTTCTAATCCATAACATTCAAGAGTGAAACTATTGTGCTCTTATCCACATTTGAAAGAACCTGAGCATGATACAATAAAAAATTCACTGCGCAATCTCAATTTTGTACACTTGTACAGCAAGGTAATAGTAGTGGATGTCCTGCCTCTTTGCAGGTTTCCAAATTCCAGGTACCAGCCCGGTAGGTATTCTTTTCCTTTTTCCATTCTGGAACCATCTTTGGTAGAGGAGCCCAAAAACTTTCATTATTTACAGTACCATATCAATCTCTAACACCATCAATACCAGCACGAGTAATGGCCTTTTTTGCAGCACTAACCAGACGTACAAGCTCATCTACATCCTGGAAGCTGAAGTCAATAACCCTCCTAATAGAGGCTATATATTCCTTATTCGATGCTGCTTCCATAAATGTACTAGCGGCTGCAAAGGTGCTTTGGCATTTCCTAGAAGCCTCCATTGCCAAATTTACATCCTGAGTCTGCAAAATCACATTGACATGCTAATTTGTATATGTAGTGATTTTATATAATATAATTATCATACTAACATAATAAACTCTCAAGAGTTCGTGTGCTGGTTCTACATGTCAAACCAGGTTACTATAAAAGCCAGTTGCTTATTACTAAAGAGTACAGTTAGAAAGAGTTTCAAAGGAAAACGAAAGCTTGACATTTAACCACTGTTAGTGATGGTTAAGCCCTTAGACTATTGTGCTTGTATCCTGTATTAAGTCATGTACTGTTCCCATATACTTCATCATTTAGAGATATGGTGAATTCCTCTGCCACTCCCAATGACAACAGCTAAAACATTACATCAAAGTGAATTGGTGAGAGCAAGACTTTTACATTAAAATTCACGATTTCATTCGAATTAATCCTATAGCCCCAAGTCCATGCATGACACTAAAGATTGTCTCTGAGGAGCAAAGTTCACAGTTCCTATCTTGGATAGCAAGGCACCAATAAAACTACAGCCACCGTGAGATTTTCAACATTCTATCTAACGAAAAACACTTCCCATATACAATATCTCCATGCTAGTTCAGGTTCAAATAAACAAGCCTTTCAAACAAACCACATAAAACTAAAAAAGTAACACTTACAAAGTCAAGAAGGTGGAAGAAAGTTGAGTGATTTTGCACAGAGATGACTTGGTTAGCGGCAAAATGAATACCAGTACTCCTGGACAAGGTAGTCTTATCCACTGCTGCCTGATTGATTAAGCTATCAACATCTGATATAGACGACGAAGGAGATTCACCTAAAGAATAGAATAAAAAATCAGTAATACATCACTGACTTGTAATCCTCAATGACACATATCAGAACACTAATTTCGCACCAAGAAAAATGTCAAAACTAAGCCCTGCTGGCTCCATAATTTTTCAATTCATTGAAACCCCAAAAAATAAAAATAGATGGCATCATCCATTCACACTTCATCTAAAGAAGGAAGCAACAGGTAAAACAGTTCTAGAATATAAAGATAGCAATTTCGCTTTTACATTTCTTCCCCTTTTTGTGTTTGTAGCCGCAGCAATGGAAGTATGCAAGCATAAAAGAGAATGCAAAATCATCATAGACCAAAACCCAACCAGCTTGGAGAAACGAAATCGTATCAGAACTATATTCAGTTACCTTGAGGAACCATATTTAAAGTTGATTGCAGCTCGTGCCACATCCTGTTTGCGCTAGAATGTTTACAGTAAACCAATCTCATGCACGCCACCTCCATGCATTTATATGCCAAAGCAGCTGCAGCCATTTCTTGGCGTCTTTGATATTCATGTGCACAGGATCTGATAGTCATTTTTAAATAAAATGTGTGATTAAATACCAGCTAAAGAAAAAATGCCCACAGTAGCCCATCATCTGTGCAAATTGCACTGTCACGTAGTGCCACAATTGAAAGTTTAAACCCCAATGTCAACATATTAACTGTAAGATAGTAACAGCACTATCAAGTCACCAGATTTGATTGAGCAAGGCAGACAATGTGTGTCGAGTGAATCCATTGGTTTGCCTTCGCATCCCATAAACGACACAGAAGGATCCCACTTGATCCCAAGTCCAATATCATGTATTAGGGTGCAGAGAAGAATATATAGCCCAATAATCAAATAGTTATACGTGTATTTATTAAATTATAGCCCAACAATGACTTATTCTCGTCAAGCAAACAAAAATATATAAAAAAAAAAAAAGCATATATAATCAGCACTTTACTCACTTAAAAAGTTTAGCTGTAGTAGCATAGATTTGCATTTGACTCATCTCCCCATGCTTGCTACCCTCATTATGACAACATTCTAAAAGTGATGCACCATGAAGAAACTTCAAGGCAGCTTCAAAGTAAGTCTCATTACTTTCAAACTCAAATCCAGAGTTCTACAATATAAACAGCATTTAAGCCATCAGTTAGAGAGTAAACAAGCAAAAATCTAACAAAAGAAATCAACAAAATTTCTAAATTGACAAGTAACCTTAAAATTATCTGCCATATCTTTTATTTTTGTGGCTTCATCCAGGGTCACAGAGGCAGTTAGGCTAGAATTCGATCTCACGGGGCTCGACATATGGGGTTGATCAGGTGCAAAACTTCCTGAATTGCAACCAACTCTGACCTTGCTTCTAGCATCAGCAGAACTTTTTAATAACTTGGTGAGATCACTATTGCCAGAGGCATGGACTGAATGCCCATTAAACATATAACCCTTTTGAGCCTCAGGGCCAGTTCTGGAACTCACAAATAATGTCTCCCTTCTTACCTCACAATCTGAAGATGAGAGAGTTCTCAATTTCCCATCTGTTAATTCTGTGTATAAACAATCAGCTTTGTCTTCTTTCTCAAAGTTTTGACTCAGATTCCGCCGGGAGACAATACTTCTTTTAGTGGTACATGGAATGTCAACTTTGAGAACTGAATTCTCGAAGTCTTTTGGCTTTAGCCTAATTTTCATTCCAGCTTCACTCGACCAACTTCTCACTGAATTTTTATTACTAATATTGTCAATTTCATGTTTAGGCTCAGGAAATTTGAATTTAACATCATTTCTTGCCTCAGGACCAGATTCACAAGAGCTAAGACCACTGTTCTTGTTCACTCCATCTTCATGAAGTGTACCACTAACACAGTTGCCATGATCTATAGCATGATTACCACCACTAAGCAAATGGTCATGCCTAACTTCAGAAGTTTTAGCTGGAACTTTGGGTTTACCATCCTCAGCCAAAGATTCAGTTGAATAAATTTGGTTCTGTTCAGGAAGCAAGTCATCTAAAACTTTCTTCTTTCTTTCCATTAACTTCTTTTCCTCCTTGCTACCCCTAGAACTCATAGAAGAGAGATCACCTTTCCTGGAAGCATCCTTCCCCGAAGTGTCCCTTTCTGCAAATATTAGCTTGTCTAAGTTGGAGGTCCTCAAAGGCGTTGAGGTAATAGATTCTACTGGTGAAACTTTAACATCTTGAAAGTTAGTTCTCACTCTATAGGACCCTGAAATCATAGAAGAGCTTGAAGTTGCTGCCGATGAAAGCTGTTCAGATCTTAAATCCCTACCCAGTGGATCATTACAATCCAATGCACGCTGAGATGCAACCTTTATTTTATGCTTCCTTCGCTGCTGGGCCTTATCACTATTTCCAATTTCTTCTGTATCAACATCCATGTCATCCCTACTTCCTGACAGGCAAATTCGGCTCCTTCCACCTTTTTGGTCAAATTCAATGTCTCCTTCAGCATCTGAATTTATCTGAGTCTTCAGAACTCTACGCTTCCTTTCCTTCCTAAATCCACTTACACTGCCTTCTTCACGATACTGCCCACAATCCTGCCTGGACAACAAATTGTTCTGTTTCTTATCATCCATCCAGTCCTTCAGTTTCCTTTTCTTCATTGATTCATCTTCGTTGCTAACGTTTACTTCACCCAGGGCCACACTACTTGACAAGACCTGAGCTTGATCTTCTAGTTTCTTGGGAGGAACTACTGACTTGTCCTTTGTATCCTCAGATAAACAATAGTTACCATATTTCTCAATACACTTCCAGCTAACCTTCATTGATGAACATTTTCTTGAAATTGGCTCCACCATATCTTGATCCGTGCCACGATTCAGATGACCATCAGAGTAGTGAACATCTTCAGTCTTAGACCTTTTCGATGCTCCAGATATAGCCTCTATTCCACATCTCAATTGTATATTCTTTTTATCACCTGCACATGCGCCATAAAAACAATGAAATTTTAAAAATATAAATAATGAGGTATTCATTCGATAGAAAATCTAATGCATCAGTGTATCGGCTCTGAAATAAATAGGCACCTCTCTTCACTTGTTTTACTTTCTCGTTAGGCATGTGCTTCTCCTCATTCAAGTTGTTCAACTTGATCAAACATTGATCACTGGATTTCCCCATTGAGCTTGAGTTACCAGGACACTGGCTCATGTCAGTTAACAATCTAGTTTGTCCAGATTCTTGAGCATCGATTTCTAAGGATTTTGAAAACACAAATGCGTCACTATTGATTCCTGCCTTAGTCTCATCCCTAAAATCTTGCTTCTTCTTTCCTCGACCAGACATTACATCAAAATTGGATTTCTGGCGATTCATGCCAGAGTGGAGGGGACCAGCAGAACTCGCTCCACTTGCAGTTCCAGAGGCATGGCTTTGTTGATTATTTTGACTCCCAGAGTTAGGCATTTGATTTAATGCATAAACTGCTTTTGTTGTCTCCTCCTCACTGATATCACACCTATTCATTCCAGGCCTAAAGACAATTTCCAAAGAGTAAGGCAATATGCAAGACAAACATGGTATGCAACACGGGAAGAAAAAGTTTACAAAAATTAGTACATCATTCAACATGATGCTCAATTCTTGTTTAATATACAGATAAAATGAAAATTAATGTATATCACACATAACAAGCTCACGCATAACCTAGAAATGAGAAAAGCAACTTACAGCCAATTTAGCATGCTACATAGCCATTTTTCAGGTAGCTGCTCTGGCTTAACACCCAAAGGTAGAAGCCGCCATTTCTCACAGCTGTCACAACCTACCCAATCATCTTGAGGTACTGGTGCTGGTGCCATCTCAGTAGCAGTTTTCTTTTCTGCAATAGGACATGAGCTCAGCTCAGATATTAACTGATCACCCATTTTTTTGCCACTTGGTCTTTCCTTTATTTTAATCCTATAAGCACTACGTCCCTCAGCATTATCACAGTTAACACTTGCTATAGCCCTGTGCCAAGGATGTTCTACACTGTTCTCTTTCAGTGACTCTCCATTACTATCTCTGACCTTATAATCCTTCAAGGATTTTGTTATATGCATTTGACTTTTACAAGAAGTAACACCAAATGATTTCCTCTTTTTATCAGTTTTCAATGCATTATTACCCGCTCCTGAATTGTCTTTTCCCCCAATAGCCACAGCTTTACTGGAACTGTGATCCCCTTTAGAGTTATCCTTGCCCTCAAATACTGGTTCTCCCTTTTGATTAGTATGGTGATTGTGAGAATCTTGATGTACCTTAAATTGTATGGCATCACACTCAATTTTCTTGAAACTCAAGTTAGCTTTACACTTGCCACCATTCTTAGAGTCAGTACAGTTATCCTTGAGGGAATTAGCTTTATGCTCAGAAACATTTTCCATAAAACTATTTCCTGCGTGTTGCTTTTCAGTCCTGTCAAAATCCTGACCAGATATTGACTCCAATGACTCCCCCTTAACTGCCTCACTGAATACCGTTCTGGCTTTCATTGCATCCTCACTGACTTCCATTGAAACTCCGGAAGCCTTTCCAGCGACTCCATTAACTTCACCAGCATCACAAAAACTTGATAGAGGTGTGCATTTCAAGCCACTAGAGAGAAGGTCCTTATGGCGTGGAGTTTTATTTTCAAATATTTTTGTTTTATGCAATGTAATTTTCTTCTCAAAACCATTGCCATTTTTACGCTTCATTTCCAACTGCTTTTTACTTTGACCCACAATTCTCACGTTCCTCTTATTCAACAACTGTTCATCCCTCATAAGAGAATCTGACTCAGCAAAACGAGAACAATGTTCTTGAGAAACATTATGTGAAGACATTGGATTTCTATCTCCAAGAACATTTTCTTTTCTCATCAAGTAGAGTAGAGTCTCATGTAAAGGTGACAATAGCACACCTCCAGGAATAGGGAAAGAACTCATAACCTGATCCATTGAAAGAGAAATTTTATATTTTCAGTCCTTCTCTAGACAAGCAGGTACACATAAAAATGGAAAAGGTCCATCAATTACCTGAATAATGGCAGTTGGAGATTCTTCGCAGGTCTCTTGAGATGGAGCAAGCATGCCTTCATTTTCATCAGGACTGTTCCCCATCGATGAAGATGGGGTGTTATCAAGCCCAAGACCACTATAAATCGCAGCATTGTTTTGCGCTGACATATTAGACTTCATTTTTATTCGAAACTTCAGTGTTCTCTGGTCAGTTGATTTTCCTGATTTATTTGCACTATCATCTTTAAAAGGGAACCTGTCAGCTACTTCATTGGAAGAAACTTCAACATCTTTCTTCATTGAATCATCAACTTTAGGTGCTTTTAAAGTATGGCATGACTGAATGCTACCAGAACCAATTTTAAGACACATGGATGGGGTTATGATAGAAGATGATTTTGAGTTATCAGGTACAGCCTGTATTATGAAATAAAACCATAGAGCCCAAGCATGTCAGATGTAAAACTTATCAACACAATGACATACCATCTTCCACTGGTGTGGTCACTAAAAAATCATTTTAAAAAACTATTCAGCAACGACACTTTTCATATACCTCTACGTTGTGAGGCTTTTTTGGGGATACTGGTGGGTTATGGTTTCTTTGCAGAGTTTCTGAATGAGAGAGAAGACAAGGACACTCAATTGTAGGTAAGAAGGAGCCATAGCCACCAAACTTGGCACCTGGAAAAGATAGGTCATGCGAACCAGCATCACTTTCATGCGTGTAAAGACACCTTTTTTCATTTCTCACTGAGCTATTATCTCTATTCTCCTACTTACCCAAATTCTCAGCAGAAACACCACCTTCAAAGTCCCTTTGAAAATGGCCCAGGACATGCTGAATTCTCTCGTCCTTCAGGAAACAGAAAGCAAAATATTAGATTAAAATGTAGCTGTCCCCCCCCCCCCCCAAAAAAAAAAATCAAAGAAGATAAATATATAAAGTATGCCATGAATCAACAGTAACCATTCACAAGGAAATACAATCATAGCAAGCAACAAGAAGATCAATGACAAGAATATGAGATATTAACTTCATCTTTTTTTCAGTGATCAGCATAGGAGCTGGTGTTCTTTGGAGACAGAAATATAAACGCACGTAAACATATCAATAATCTGAGAAGCAGTTAAAAATATTCTCACTTTAAGGCTCTTATGCAAAGGTGCAAATGCTGCTGCAGCACAATTCTATTTCTTGACTACTGATGAACTGTGTAGTGTGTGGGCCATATAGTTCCTAAATAACTGGTAAACCATCCTTTTCATATGTGGCGCGACAAGAAAAAACATCTATAGCATTACTTGGTCAGCAGAATCAATCCACAATTATTTTAAGCAGTTGTCAAAGTATAGATCCTCTGTGCTTACAGGTCAAAACTCATACGTAGTATTTTTCTGAATAACTTACCCTAGTACCAATTTACTTCCCTGTAATGGACAACATAAGCATAGAAAGCCAATAGTTATGTGCAGCTATTACTGGTTTGATTAAGTAACAGCAAACAGAAGTTTAATAGTGAAAAAATTGCACATTTATTTCCTAACGAAGCAAACAAATTCGCCCAGTGAAAGTTTTGTTCAGTGACAACATGATAATCCATGTTTTACTTCTTTTTTTTTTTTAATACAAATAATCCATGTTTTACTGTTCAGCCAAATAGGAAGAAAAATTCCCCCCATATAGCCCGAAGACTGCAGAGAAATTTTTAGCTCGTAGAAAACTAAACCAACTTAATATGCAACCTCCGGACTTGGTTAGATTTATTTTATGTTTGAACTTGGTTAAAACTTAAAAGTATTTTCCAGTAAGCCCTTACAATGTAAGAGAGAGAATCAATGTCAATGTTGTTGTCATCTTCGTTATTATAGCGAGCCTCTCCTTCCTCGAGTTCAGTATCTTCTTCCATCTGGACCACCTGACTAAAGTCTAGTCCCAGGTTTAACCCCAGAACCTTAACCGTACCCCTTCACACTAGAACCTTCCCTGGAGTCCAGCATTACTCTTTAATCAACACAAAAGGAGAAATAAACACAACAGAATAAAAAAACACCGACCCTCAAAACAATCACAGTTTTTATCAATCCCGGAAGGGGAATCCGCTTAAACCGACTGTGATCAAGCCATGTTTCAAGCCCGTAACAGCATATGAACCGCAATGTAAATTGCTGGTTGCATTACAAATTTACTTTAGCTTCAATAACACAGCCGGGGAAAAAGATACGACGGCGGAGATCGGCGGACCGATCAGTGCCCCCTCGATTAAGTTTTGACGGCGACTTCAAACGGATTCCCAACCTTCGAAGTTCTGGTATATTTTGATTTTGATTTGCATAACAGCGAAAGAGCTGGCTTTTTTTGGGTTCTGCTTAAAATTTAATTATTAAGTTATTAATTGTTTATTATACATAAATTATTTTTAAACGTTGGTTAAAATTAATAATTCAAAATTAAAAAAGTACTTATTGTTTATGTTTTTGCCACAAAAAAATGCTTGTTGTTATTCACGTGCTTAAATAACTTTAAAATTTATAATGATAGTAAAATAATAATAAATAAGAATAACATAACTCTATGGCCACGTGACCACATTCAAATAGTTTCTCCCTGTTTTTTTTTTTTGGAGTATGTTTGAGGAAATCTAAAGGAAAAATAACACAATAATGAGACTTAAACTTGAAAATCTCAAAATAGTCATTTGAATAGACAAAATCTTAATTTATGCATAAGTAACCAATTTAAGATTTGTAAATTTACTGAAATAATCATATTACTCTTTACTTTTTTATTGTTTTTAAAAAATCAAATACCCTCACTAGACGACTAGTCGCGTGAGCTATGGTGCTGACGACAGGCCGACAATCGGTTGCCAGAGCTCCGGCGATTAGCAACTATTTTTTAAAAAAATTTTATAATTTTAGTAACACGATTAACAAGTTTTATAACGTTATTAACAAGTTCAATACAGCAGTTAACAACAGCTTTTTTAGGAAATTAAAAAAGTAGTATTTTTACAACTTCAATAATACCGTTAACAAGTTCCGTAACTCTATTAACAAGTTCAGTATAGCATTTAACAATAGGTTTTTTAAGAAATTCAAAAAGTGACATTTTTACAATTTCAGTAATATGATTAACAAGTCATGTAACGACATTAACAACTCTCATAAAGATTGATGTTTTAATATTAACTCCTTATGAAGGCTGTACAACAAAATTTTTCTACTTACTAGGCAGCCATTATGATTATTAGAGTTGTTAATATCGTTACATGACTTGTTAAACATATTATTGAAGTTGTAAAAATACCACTTTTTGAATTTCTCATAAAACCTATTGTTAGTGTTACAAAACTTATTAACCGTATTACTAAAATTATAAAAATTTTCAAAAAAAAAAGTTGCCGGCCATTGGAGCTTCGGCAACCGTTTGCCAACTGGCCGTAGAAGCTTCGGCAACCAGTTGGCCAATAAGGGTATTTGGTTTATTAAAAACAATAAAAAAAGATAAAGGGTAACATGGTCATTTCAACAAACTTGCAAATCTCGAATTGGTCGCTTATACCTAAATTAGGATTTTGCTTATTCAAGTGATCATTTTGGAATTTTTAAGTTTAAGTGTCATTTTTATGTCTTTTTTCCAAATTTAAATAAGAGAAAAATATACTAAAATACTCTAAAGAATGTAAGTGACCAATTAGGGGTAGATGAATTTTAAAATCTTAAATCATACCTCTTATACTATTTTAGAATTTTAAAATATCATGACATGACAGCATTGCTTTTACTCCCAATGACTACTTTCATATAACTATTGTCTAATCTAGTTTTATTATTAATTATTTTTGTTTCCAAAGTTCTAATAATTACTTTTGTATAACTATTAACTACATAAGAGTAGCAAATAAGTAAACAAAAAGTAGTCACTAGATCTCCAAAAACACTTATTGTATTTTTAAAACAAAAGTAATCAATAGCAAAATTAGATTAGTCAATAACTAAATAAAAGTAGTCACTAAATTTTTAAAAATGAAAGTAGTTAATGACAATATTAAAGTAGTCAGTAGCTAAATAAGAGTAGTTATCGAATTTCTAAAAACAAAGTTAATCAATAGCTAAAAAAGAATAGTCAGTACATAAGAAAAAACAGTAACTGGAGTTCTAGCAATTGGTCACTGGTGTTCCGGTGACATGTCGTCAAAGTTTCAATGGTCAGAAACAGGCTAAGGGTGCTGAGGTAGCAATATTTTAAAAGAAAAAAAATAGTGAAGGACATTTGCATAATTTCACAAGATTTGAAAATTCCAAAATAATACAAAGGGTCTAAATTGAGATTTTGAAATTCAACCACATTAATTTATTATTTAATAATTTTTTAAGGTATTTTATTTTCTCTTTCCCTTCAAATAATTAGTCGTGTTGATAGGAAATGAAAAAAAATATTAATTAGAATTTTTAAATACTTAATTTCATCACAAAAAATTTAGAAATATTTTGTTTTAAGTTTGATTTGTGGTGATTAGGAAAATAACCAAAAAAATTTTGTTAAATTTTAAAATACCGAAAGGCCAAAATATGTAAAATCACTAATTAATCAATGGGTTTCAATTGAGATTTCAAAGTTTGGTCAAAAGACTTCCAAAAGAATAGGCCTAAGCCACCTTGGTCGACTTTCCAGTGCCGCCAACGGCCGATTACCAGCTCCACTAATTGGGCATCAAAATTTTGGTAACTACTTTTATAAAAATAATTATACAACTTTTAATTACTTTTGCTATTAGAGTTTCCATAACTATCCTATAACAGTATCAATTATTGTTGTTAAACTATTAACTGCTTTTTACTTCTAGAGTTTTAATAATTATTCTTATTGAGCTATTAACTATCTTAGTTTTAATATTAGGAAAAAAACACTAAAATATCCTCAAAAATACTAAATCATAAATGAGGGTATTTGAATTTTAAAATCCCAATTCAAACCCCAGGTATTTTTTTAGAATTTTTAAATCTTGTAAAATTACAGAAATGTCCTTTATTATTTTTTTAAAATACTGCCGCCTCAGCAATTCCGCCCACCAGAGCTCTAACGCTAACAACCTTGCTGACGACCAACCATCGGAGCTCTGGTGACCTGTCACAAGAGCTCCAGTGACTTTTTTTTTTTTTTTATATATTGACTTCTCTTTTTTAGCTATTAACTACGTTTATTTTTAAACTCTGATGACATGTGATTGGAACTCTGATGACTGGTTACCGGAGATCCGATAACTACTCTTTCTTATGTACTAACTACTCTTTTTTAGCTATTGACTCTATTTACTTTTAAACTTTGATGACTACTCTTATTAAGCTACTAACTACTCTAGTAATGCGATTTACTATTCTTGCGTAGTCAATAGCTATATAAAAGTAGTCACCGAAACTTTGAAAACAAAAATAGTCAATAATTAAAATAGAGTAGTCAATAACTATGTAGAAGTAATTATCGACAGTAATGACAAAGTTGTCATTTTACAAGATTTGAAAATTTCAAAATGGTACCTCGGGCCTGAATTGGGATTTTGAAATTCACCGACTCTAATTTGTCATTTAGTAATTTTGAGAGTATTTTACTGTCTTTTTTCATTTAATATTAGTTACTTTTGTTTCAAAAATTCAAAAAATATATTAAGAGTTGCAAGAGATCTCATAACTATTCTTATTTAACTATTTACAATTCTAATAGCTGAACTTTAATCTTCTTTTAGTAAGGTGATTTAGGGGGTGTTTGGATGCCCTTAAAATCACTTTTCAGAAGCACTTTTCTGCAAATCGAGGCAATCTCTTCTACATATTTGCTTCGTATACTGTAAAAACACTTCTGAAACCATGGTTTTGATTTTATCCAAACACCCCTTTAATCCTTGATTCTGGGCAAAATTGAACCCAAAATCAGGGGTAAAATTGTATTTGTAAAATAAGATTAGAATTAAAATTAAATATTTACCCTTAATAAAAAGGTTCGGTTTTTTTCCAGCCAACATAAAAAGGTTCAGTTTTGCTAATTCTTGCTAGCTTTACTACCGGTCATCCCTTTTTCTCTCTATCAGTGTAAATCAGGAATCAGGATGGGGAAATAGCATTAGCACCTTTCCTTACGGGTCCCCATTTGCCCCTATATTTTATTATTATATCGTCCGTATTTTATTTTTCCCGCAGTTCACAGTATCGTTGCTCACCTCCATTTTTTAATGGTTCCATAGGGTTTCGATCATGTTTTAGTGAGAGTTTCTCCGCTGGGTTTTGACAGATATTTCGTCGATTTGGTAGGTTTTTTCGTTCAGGTTTAGGGTTTTGTGTACTAATGACATGTGGGTTGCATGCAAAATGACGGTTATCTGGTTGATGTGTTTGATTTGGGGAGAGCAACGACCATAATTTGTTTTGGAAAATAAAGCTTGAATTTTTGGTGTTTTTTAAAATATATTTTGATGATTTGATGTTGATTCGTTTTTTGGCTTCATGTTACCTTGAAATAGTGCGACATTCATAATCCGTGAATTTAACAGGCTAACATGCTATGATGAAGTCTGGTTCTTGGATGTTATACATAGAGCAACGTTCGTGACTGGAGTGCACCCATACAGTTCGAGAATGAATCTTTCAAAGAACGCAGGTAGTGTTGCCGGGACACTGCCAATTCCTATGCGGTTCGTGTGGCCATATGGTGGAAGAGAAGTGTATCTATGCGGTTCATTCACACGGTGCGTCTATAATTAATTACTACTAAATTCATTCTCTGCTCATCTTCTTCTTATTTGGCTGTATTTTAGCCTAATTTAAGGGTTTTCGTGGGATTCATGTTAGTTTGCTTATTTCGTTTTCTTACATTCAATTTTCGTTGCAAAGGTGGTCTGAGTTTCTACGTATGTCGCCAGTTGAGGGTTGCCCGACTGTATTTCAAGTCATTCATAGCTTGGCCCCTGGTTATCATCAGGTCAGTCATTCTGGAAGTAAATATTCATCAGCGTAAGCTTCCATATGAGGTTGGGGAAAAATCTCCCTTGAATTCAATGTATTTGTGAATTAAGTGATTTTATTCTTGGATTTGAATTTTCACTTCAAAATAATTACAAAACATGTTGTGGTCTCGTTTCACCTGTTCATCCCCTTTTTTACCTGTTCATCTGTTGTTGATGGAAAGGCGAGGTGGTACTCTGCTTGGCATGCCTCTATGGCACCTCTACTGTGAGTCCGAACAGCGCCATTTAGTTTTGTTCCATCCTGGCTTTTCAGTCGCAGACTTCATCCTGCTCATCCATT